CAGTTCCTCAGACGTCCCTTGTTTCTGATAACATGCATAGGTGTGAAGAGTAGTGATAAGACGTTTTGCAGAATGTCCCATAATTGGGATTTGACTATGGTTTTTTTTAATGACTAGACTGGGCTTCTATGTTTTTGTGAAGGAGACCACCACGGTAAAATGCCATTTTCATCACAACACAACAGTGCTGAAATCACTACTGATGTTAACCCTGATTGCCTGGCCAAGACAGTGTGTGTCGGGTGTCTCCACTGTGAAGTCACACTTCTCCTCCACGCTTTCTATCACAGACTACTCTTTGGAGGAAAGTGCCCGTGCACAGCCCACACTTAAGTAGTGGAGAGTTATGCTCTACCTGCTTGAGGGCAGAATATCTACATAAAGTGTTTGGAATATTTCTGCCAGGGAGATTTGTCTCTTCTCCCCTGTTTGCTTATTTATTTGTGCAATTGTTCATTTGTATCAATATTGGACTCATAGATATTTATTTTATGGTTTAAATTATAATCCAACCCTTCATTGTTTTGTTTCTCAAATTGTTCCAGTTGTCATCACTGGAAACTCTTGAAATTGATCTGTGTCCCTTTGACATACTGCCATCATTGTGGTCGGATTTCTTCTTTTCCCTCAGCACTTCCTCACTCTCTGGCAGCACACGATGTTCTGCTCTTACTCATTCTTGTCCCAGTTCTAGCATCGGACATTTCTGCAAGACGCTCTCATTCCTTCTACTGGAGAAGGGTGTGAGAAGGTAAGGTCTGTGGGTTTGGTGTCCATGCTCCTGGAGTGTCATTGCATCCAGACCTTCTCGACTGATAGAAGGGGCATCTGTGTGAGTACTAGCTCATGTATATACACAGATCTACAAACATTCACGCACATAGCCATCAGCAGCTATATTACACCAAACATGAGTTCATACTGATGTCTCAGACTCTAATCCATTACCACACAGATTAGGCTAGTCTCTTTCCCTTGCTTTTCTGCAGCTTCTCATTCCAACAGTGAGGAGTCTGGGTTCTATTACCCGTCATCCATTTACTTCGTTGTTCAATTCTAGTACAGATAGATGATGTTATTAAAATTTCTAACTTGTAACCTTGTGGGGAACAACTTCATCAACTAGAATGTAGTGTTTATGTATAGTTTCCTTTGTTTGTTGTTTTTTTATTTTTGGACTTACAGACCCCCCCCCCCATTTTCAAAGTTACTTAGGTCAGTAACTTTCCCCCTCACCACCTTCAGTGAGGTTCTTCGCAATACACATCCCTTGTATTGTTACACATTTGTAATACAGTCACATTATTTTGTTACAATGTGCATTCCATCCTGGATTTCCTGACCTCTAAATGATTTTTTGTAATTTGCATACACTAAAGTTTATTCTTTGTACTATAAATTTATATAGATTTTGACAAATGTATAGAGACATGAATCCACTATTATAGTAACAAATAGATGTTTCCTCACCCTAAAATATCCCCCTGTGTTTCACCTGTTCAGTGGTCTCCTTCTCCCCTTTAACTCCTGGCAACCACTGATCTTTTTAACTATCTCTGTAGTTCTGCCTTCTCCAGAATGTTATATGATTGGAATCATACAGTATTTAGCCTTCCATGCTGACTTCTCTGACATAGCCATATGCATTTAAGAGCCTTCCATGATTTTTGTTGCTTGATAGATCATTTCTTTTTATGACTGAATAGTATTCCATTGTATGGTTGCAACACTGCTTGCCTATCTATTCACCTATAGAAGAACATCTTGGTTGCTTCCAGTTTTTGATGATTATGAGTAAAGTTGTTCCAAATATTCACATGCAGATTTTGGGATAGACATGCATTTTCAGTTCAGTTGGGTAAATACCTAGGAACACAATTGCTGGATCATATGATGAGACTATGTTTAGCTTTGTAAGAAGTTGCCTTACAAAATGGCTGGACCATTTTGGCATTCCCAGCAGCAATCAATACGAGCTGCTTCCTCTACAGCCTCACCAGCAATTGGTGTTACCAGGTTTTTTTCGATTTTAGCCATTCTAATAGGTGTGTAGTAGAATCTCTTTACTGTTTTAATTTTTAATTCCCCCATGACAATGACTTTGAGCATCTGTCACATGCTTCTATGCCATCTGCATATCTTCTTTGGTCCCCCAACACATTTTTAAATACTTAAGTGATTTAGAGCTGGATTGCAATATTATATCACTTTTCTATTTAAATATTATATATTCTTTCTCAAAAAAACATTCTGAAATTTGTAGCTCTGGATTACATAGACAATATCTCTCACACATGATCAATTCCAACATTACTGATAGAAGTCTTAATGATGATTATGCATATTTAGTAAGTTATTTTATGGGCAGTCTACATAAGAATCTTAAATATTTGTGCTGTTAGAAACTTCTTCCTTCCACATCCAAGAAGGAAGATGGTACCTCTAATAGTGTAAATTAACACTAAAGGAGAAAACACACATGCCCCAGTAATAATATTGTCATACTTGTGTCCTTGGACAAGTCACTTTACTATGTGAAACCTCAGTGTCCTCATGTGTATATAGGGTGTGATTGCAGATCACTGAGAGCTTCTTCCAACACTCTGGTTTTATTCTTTACTCCCCCTAGAGTTTGAAACACTGACGAGAGACTCATCATCACAGTATTCTTTTCTTTGGCTACCTTTCCTCCTACTATTACCACACTGAACTTCCTTTGTTTAGTTGTTAGAACCTTTTCCAGACCACTCCTTGAGTACAGCATGTAATTCTCCTGGCTTTTACTATCTGGAGATCACTTTCCTTTATTAATTTGCTGTGTTTTAATTCTTTATATCAAATCTAATTAGGAAGAACTTGCTTTGTCTGAGAGTAATTAAATTTTATCAGGGCAAATTAAATAGAAGCTGATGGCTTTGTAGTTTATCTTAAAATCATCCTGGACTGCTTACTAAAATCTAAATTAAATTCCTTTCCATCCCTTCACTAGGAAGATTTCATGGAAAAAAAAAAAAGTTGAATTCTTGATCAATTTTGGCTTTGGAACTACTCTTTTTTAAGGGACAGATCTTAGAAGCCAAGAAATTGAACCTGAAAAACAACAAATCACAAGAGGGTCTTACTCAGGATATATTTAATAAACTCTCTTTTCCTGCTGCTAAATGTATCCTGTTGCCTTGAAAGAAAGGAAGACCCCTACCTTATATAGTGAGCAATTTTCTCTCCAGGGAGTTTTTTACTCATTCAAACTTACCATGGGTCAAGCTAAGAGCAGTCCCAGTATAATTCATATTTCTTCCCACAGACATTCTTAACTGCTTCAGGATGTATGACTAATTAAAAAAAATATACACAGAAGGCACAGTATGAGCACATAAAAACCACCTGCACAGGTTGCCATTGTGTTGAAGTCACACATATTGCCCTATGAGTCATTAACTTTTATAAAAAGTCTTCAGAATTAGTGTACTAGCAGAAAATGTATACGAGTCCTTTCCAAAAAGTTCATGTAAGTCAAGTGATAGAGAACAGAAAAGCAGCATTTTCTCCTCATGGGAGTAAGTTACGAGCCCAGGGATTATATATTTATAACCCAAAAAGTAAAACTGTCTCTAATGGGTAACTATATTGTTTTTCAATCTCACACAAACCTTGAAGCACAAGTCTTGGTTCAGGGGCTTGAAGGTGTTCATTGATTCCCCCCAACACATTTGTCATTTAATTGATGAGTATGAAGTTGATCTTCCTCTGGCTGGCCAGACACATATTGATAGCCTTGCAGATATTTAACATTTAATAGATGTTTATTATTGAACTAGAAAAAAGAAAAGTAGATGAGCTTTGAATAAGGGCTTAGGAGGGCCATCTTTGAATAAACTATATGACTGGTACGATAAACATGCCCCAACAACCATCTTCGGGCAGCTTTGTGTGAGGTGGCTTGCTTATCTGATCTGCCCACTCTGGGAGGGCCCTAGAACCTGAACTAGAGTAGCTCTAGATGCTATCAGATGTAATAATACCTGGAAGGGTTTTAGACTGGAAATTTATGGAGATTACAAATTTGAAACTAAGGAATAACTATGTACGGAGATTAATTATTCCTACGTACGGAGTTAAACTTGAGATCCACTGCAAAAGGTCTTCAACAGGATTACAAGTTCCCGGATCAACTAAGGAACTGGTTCTTTGAAGCAAAGACATAAAACATATTTATATGCTTTTCGGATTTAAATTTCTAAGTTTGTAAACTATTCTACAGATTCTTCAATCTGTGCAGGTTCCACTGAAATTCTTGTGTGTGTCCAAGTTGTTATTTTCCTGGAAGAATAATAATGGAAGCTAACTTTAAGTAAGGATGCAGCACATTTGCAGAACTGTTCTAAAATCCTATGTGTGTTAACTCACATTTCTTTTTTCGGGGCCTCTACTGCTGTTTTCCAGTACATTCCCTATCTCAGTGTTAGACTTTAAAAGCTGTCTTATCAGGAAGGAGTTTGCTTTCCTTCACTGTTCTCCGCTGAAGTGGGCAGGGAGTCAGTGATTGGGACAGGCTTCTCTGCCTTTGTGGCCTTGAAATCTGTGTATCTCTCTCTGTCCCACATGCTGACTGCAGGAATAAACTTCTAGAATGTAACTTCTACAACAGGACCAAGTTGAAATAGCTTTCCCCATTGCATGTGAACATGGATAATATAGCTCCCTATTAATGTTCAATAATGGAGCTACATGAGAAAAATCATGATTACCATTGCAGAATATTACAATAATAACGTGTTGTCAATTGCTCGTGATCTATTTCATGTCCGTTATTTGCACAGGGTATATATGTACTTTATGATACCTTATATAGCTGTACTGGTTCATTTTTCACTTACTTCCCATTTCTCAGCTTTATTTGGCATAGGTGTGATTCTACATAACAAAGACTTCCTCCCTGTCTCTTACTGTAAACCACATTGCTGATGTATAGCTTATTCCCTTTAGTGGGATTCTATACTTGGCATTAGGAGGTCTCAATTTACCCTCTCTGTATCCTCTTTAGCACCTGGTTCAAAAATAATGTAATTATTACTATTTTTAAATGACTAACAGTTGAGTCGACTATGCTAAGTTTTCTATATTCATTATCCCTTTTAATCCTCACAGCACTCTTATGAGAAAGGTACTATTCTTAACCTAATTTCACATGTAATCAGTCTGATTGGATGATGTTAACTAATTCAATGGTTAAGAGTTTGATAGCAGGTCTGCTGATTCTAGAATCCGGTCTTTACCATTACAGCTGAATGTTACACACAGTGTTCATGCTAACAAAACAAAGCAATGCATTTGTTGGCTGAAGGCAGACCCCACGTTCTTTCTCTCAGGTCACGTAAAGTGAGTAAAGAGGAAAACAAAAGAAATCCTTTATCTCAGCAGCAGCCCCGCACTCCCAGGTTTTCTAGGGCCGGTATAAACACAGCTGAGCAGTTGGGCGGAAATGCTGCTTTGAGCCAAGGGAATGTAGTTTGAGTTTCAATGCCTATCATCCTGCCTTATCCTTGGAAGACACTAAATGACATTGACTTGAATCTAATATGTTCACCAGAACAACTAGCCTCAGGATAAAGGGAGAAGTAACAGAATTACCTAGCCATTAGATTATCATTGTATGGTTTTCCACTGCTTTTGAAATCCAAACATGTAGCTTGTGAAGTGGCTAACAGTAATGTCATTGAGCTGCTGCCATTCAGGGGTTCAGAGGTGCTGCCGTGGTAGCCTGGCACAGCATCCTGTTTCTCTTTCGGTCTTCGCATTTTCCGTGATGTAGGTAGGACAGCCATTACTGTTCACCCTAAGAACAAACACTGTGTTTAGTAGTAGACACATTTAATAATGTATGGCAGTACATGGTGATGGACGGAGACTGGACCTGGGGTGGTGAACACACAATACAGCATACAGAAGGTGTGTTGTAGAACTGTGCACCTGAAACCTGTATAATTTAGTACACTGGTGTGATCCCAGTCAACTCACTGGAAAGGAAAAAATACCATAGGGCAGAAATGTGATTCTAATAATTTTGAAAACTTGCCAAGGAGCAGGTGGCTTACACCTCTTTTGTTCTGGGAAAATGGGTTTTGGAGAGCCTTTTAAATCTCACAGGTGTACATACAGATGCAGATCTGTATTTTCAGAAAAGCCCTGGATAATACAAGTTTAATTCAAATGCTACTTCAAACTGGTATCTTGAGTTCTACTTGATTCTATAATTGGGAATAATAGGTCTTTGCTCTGGAGAGTAGAGAATTCCCCTCCCCCTCCCCTTGATGTAGACTGACTTAAAATCAAGAATAACTTGTTCCTGGAAGGTCTGTGTCATTTTGGTCTAGATAGTTGTTCTCAGGATCCTGGAATCAGTGGCCAGGCTATGACAGGAGGGACTTGCCACCTGCCTCCTCCTCCCACTGCAGGTGAGTGAGGCTGTGATGGGGAGCTGGCCTGGGGCTTGTATTCTGTTGCCTGGACTCATCAGTTAGTAGCCCAAACATGTGCTCGTTAAGCCTGAGCAATTAGGATTTTGAGAAAAGAGGGAACAACTGTGGTCTCTTACAGGCCACTGTGGTCAAATTACAAAGTGGATGCTGATGGGTAGGTAGGATCTTATCTTAAGGAAAGATAATATTACTGTCAATCATTCTGGTGTCAATAAAACAAGTCTGATTCTATTTGAAACAAGAATAAGAGGAACAAGATTAAATAGTTGGAGCTAGACTAGAGTTTGGAGGTGCTTAGAAATTCTCCTTGATGGGGTTGAGCTGGTCTTCATAATACCAGAAACCGTGGGAGCTAGTCTGGAACTCTGACCTGAAGTCCAACTGGGCTTGTGGGTCCTAAAGGAGCCACTGCTGATAACAGCTGTTGGTTATTCTGCATTATTTGGTGTTTCCTGGTCTTCAGTGAAGTTTACTAAAGTCAGGACTGGTATCACTTGTGCTAAGAAGAATTAACAAGAGAAGAGCCCTTTTTATTTATTTATTTATTTTTTATGTTCACCCGAGGACATTTTTGCATGTATCTTCAGATAGAGTGGGAGGAAGAGAGGGAGGAAGAGAGAGAGAGAGAAACATCGATGTGAGAGAGACACATGGACTGGTTGCCACCCACACAACCCCAACCGGGGCCGGGGAGAAACTGCAACTGAGGTACATGCCCTTAGCGGGAAGAACCCAGGTCTCTCTGGTCTACGGGTCGACGGAGCAGAACCCTTTCTAGAGCAGAAGAGGAGGTATCGGTGGTGATCACCTCACTCAGACAGGTCTACCCCAATGTCTGCAGGCCTGGGCAGGAGTACAGAGGAGACATGCACACCCACAGCCAAATATTTGAGCATAATGAAGCAAGTTACCTAATTGCCTAGATTAGGTCCCATCCTCCTACCTTGTCAAATCTACCTTCACAGTGACCTGGTAGACCAGTTCAAATTTAGAATTTTCTTCTTTCTCCTCTGTCTACTGCCCGCAACACATCCCCCTCTCTTCCCAGCTGGCGCTGCCCCTCATGAGGCGGGGCCTTGTTCACCCATAAGTGTTCATCCTGGGCCACACTTTCCGTCTTCATACACACTCTCACAGGAAACAGCCACCCTAAGGTGCCCCTTAGCCTGTAGGGTGTGCACACCTGAGTGTTCTAGCTTCAGGATGACAGGCCCAGGGACGAAGCCTGAAGTCCCTCTGGGCGGGACATTCTGGAGTCCCAGGTACCCAGAGCATGGTCCAGAGGGCAAGTAGGCATCTCCACTCATGGGGGGGGGGGGGGGGGCGTGGCGGGGAGAGAGTCAGGCCCTCTTCCCAGGTCTAACAACAGGAATGCCAGCAGAGAATGGTTTTCTCCAATGGCTACCTCATGGGTGTAACCCCAGCAGAAGCGACAGTGGAATGGTAAAGAGAACGAGAGGAGATCGAACAGAATACCTGGAAGGATTCTGCCTGAGATCGAAGCCCCCTCAGGAACTCTCGGACGTAGCTGGAGGGACACTGAGAGGAGCTCATTCCAAGCCAATTGACCACTGGAAGGTTCGACTGTAAAATTCTAATTTGAAAATATGGGGATGTGTTTTCTGAGATGGAGGACATAGGAACAGGTTGCACTGTATAATTCCTTCATCACAACGCATTCCTCAGAGAGGAGAAAACGCGCCACACGGGGCTAAGCGGCTGGTCCACAATCACATTTCTATAGCACAGCCGAGTAAGCCCCCGGATGATAAACCCAGTGCTCTCTGTTTCAAATATACTGAGGAAGCAGCCAGAGGAGGCAAAGGAAGTTCAGGGTGGGTCTGTCATTGAGAGCTCTGCACAGCCTCTTGCTCATACCTGGACGAGAAAAACCCTTGCTTCATTGATTTTCCCGTCGGTCTTCCCACCTCACTGATTTTTGCTGCTGAGTGAATTGGCTCTCTGGTAGTTGGGGTGTTTTATTTCCTTTGAATTCCCTTTACTCAATTTTCTATACTGGTGTATTTTTTTTAACGCTACCACAGTGATTTCTACTTTGAGTCAACATTAGGCCAGTGTGGGATTATTGACTACCCCCAAACTGCTTGCCTCATTCTCATGACTTGGGCATTTTTCTGACCATTTTTAATGCCTTTGTTTCTCATATTGTGTGGCTAGGCTAAAAACCCTGGGTTTCAACTGCATAAATTCTGATTCTTATAAAAAGGAGCCAAGAATGGGTACTACCTATGGTACGTGTACATTTTACTGGGTGCCTTAATGTTCATAGCCTCTGTGACAATGCAACAAAAATAATGACTAGCCTCTACTGAGTGCTGACTGTGCCTGGCGCTATGCTAAGCTCTGCACGTCTGTTTGGTTATTTACTGTCATAGCCCCGTCAAGGAGGAGTGATCACTCCCATGGTAGAAGTGAGGAAACTGGCCGAGAGCATTACATGAACTGCTTACAGCCAGTAATGGTGAAGCTAGGATTTCAGCCCCAGTCTGAGTCACTACATGTTCTTTTTATTATGCTCTGTTCCTCCCATATTTTGTAATACAGTAACTTGGTGTGCATGTTTTTCTTCCGGAAGAAATAAATCATTATTTATAGTTATTATTCTCTGACCCATAAAATATGACTGTCCTGGGAATGTTAGAGCTAGAAGGAACATTAGAAGGAATAGCTAGTCTGATACTCTTATTTTGTGGTTAGAAAACAGTTCAGAGACATTAGGTGGTTTGCAGAAGGTCTTGCAGTGAGTTGTATAGAATCCTAAACCCTTGTTTTCCAAATTCTTATGCTGGTTTTTGCTTGTTTGATTGCTTCCATAAACATTGTTAGGGGCCTATAAGAACTCAATCTGCCAACCTTGAAAATGTAAATGCATAAAGTCTTCGTATCATCATTTTTTAAATCTCTCCTTTTCAACAACAAAACTCAACATTCTCTAAAAAATAATGTAAAAACATTGAATTACCACTTCTTAACTAAAAATTTAGAAACTTAAAGAAACATCTATAAGTTTTCGAAAAGTTAATGAAGGGTAATGTTGTTATCATCAAAAGACTGATGAAATCTAGAATATTTTTAAATGAACAGTACTTGAGCTTTAAAAGAAGACCTTAATTTTATTATTATTACATTTATAGCCATATCATTGCCCTATGAATACATTACTGAAGTTAATAATGGTACCTGCTGTGATTTATAAAGCAAGACATAAAGTGTGGCAAAATTTCCTTACCTCCACCCTGCCTGTTCCCCTGCCTCCGACAGCCATAAGCTGGCATAGTGTAGCATATTAACCACAGGTCAGCAGGTCAACATGCACAATGACAAAACAAATATACTGGGTTACAGAGTGAATTAACATCGATTAGTAGCTCAGCCTCGATTTCCAACTATGCTGCTATTTCTACCACATCATTAGCAGGAAATAATTACTATGTAAAAGAAAGTGGGCAGGGGATGCTTTGTACTTCTTACCATTCCTGAGGGGGAATATGCCATAAGAAATTTATTTTATTTTTTAAATAGTTTTTTCTTAATTTTTTAGAGAGAGGAAGGGAGAGAGAAACCTTGATGTGAGAGAGAAACATGTTATCAGCTGCCTCCTGCACGCCCCCTACTGGGGATTGAGCCCACAGCCTGGGCATGTGCCCTGACCAGGAATGGGACCTCTTGGTGCATGGGATGACATTCAATCCACTGAGCCACACAGGCTGGGCTTGCCATAAGGAGTTTAATAAGGGACTAAAAGGATTACATTCAGAAGAAAAACAGCTCATGAAAAAAAGGATATGCATAGGAACACACACATTTCAAAGTAGTATCATTTATCATTCAGTGTTGCTCAGGCACAATATTGAAATTCTTACATGTCAGAAAACTCAAAGTTTAAATCAATACCTAGTTGCTGTATTCAGCTTATCATGTGCCTGGTAACAGGAGCAGTAGAATTGATGTTAAGTGGTTTTACTACTTACCTACCTACCGAATCACTTCACATTTCTGTCCACTTCCTGTATATTGTGCATAATAGTATGAGCAGCCCACATTCCAATATTGACTCTGTTTACTTTGAGGACAATCACAGAAGAGCTGTTTTGCTATTATAAGACAGCTTACATTTTTTTTAAAGTTTGGCTGAATCAACTAGGAATTCCCCAAAGCAATTTTTTTCATGAATATGTCATTTTTTTTTTTCATTTAAAAAAGAATTGTAATTTGTCTCAGGAAAGTAGCAAAATGTTACATTTCTATGGCTATGTGTGCCCTTTTATGGAGATATTAATAACCAAAAATAAAGGAGGCCTTTTATTTTATAAGAACAGTATAGTATGCTGACACT